TTTTGGTTTTTCTCCGGTACCGGGAACCGAACTCACGACCTTGCACTTGCCAGCCAGGCGCTTTGCCGCTGAGCTAAATCCCCAGCCCCTCTTTCCTTTCTTTTCTTTCTTTCTTTCTTTCTTTCTTTCTTTCTTTCTTTCTTTCTTTTTCTTTCTCTCTCTCTCTGTCTTTTTCTTTCTTCTTTTCTTTCTTTCTTTCTTTCTTTCTTTCTTTCTTTCTTTCTTTCTTTCTTTTTCCTCATCCCAGTTGTTCTTGCCTTTTGAGCAGTTTCTTTCCCTTTCACAGTATCTATTGTACCTTTTAGATTTTATTTACTGTTTCAGGTTATTACACTAGTGAGACACTACCATGTTTACACATGCAGGTCTGATTTATTTCACTTATCAGTATGGTCTGTAGTTGTTTTTCTCTGGAAAAATACCCAAAAGAGAAATACCTGAGTTGAATGGGACCTCTAATCCTAGTTTATTCAGGAATCTCCAGACTGATTGCCATGGTTGTCTACACTCCCACCAGTAGTGGAGAAGGATACCTTTTTCCCCACAGTCTCAGCAGCATTTGTTATTGCTTGATTTCTGGATGTTAGCCATTCTTTCTGGGGTGAGATGGAATCTCAGTGTTGTTTTAATTTGCATTTCCTGAATGACTAATGATGATGAACATTTTTTCATGTAATTATTTACCATTTGTATTTCTTTATCTGAGAAGTGTGTATTCATCTCAGATGCCCATTTTTGGATTGGGTCTTTGAATTTGGAGGGGCTGATTTGCTTTAATTCTTTGTATGTTTTAGATAGAAGTCCTTTGTCAGAGGGACAGTTGGCTAAAATTTTTTTCTCAATTTGTGGGTTTTCTTTTTACTCTGTTGGTGATTTCTCACAATGTGCAAAGACTTTTCAATAAAATGAGATCCCAGTTGTTGATTCTTTGAAGTATTTCTTGTGCAGTTTGGGTTTTGTTCTCTGCCTACTGCTGTGTCTTCAAGAGTTTTACCTCTCTCTTCCAGTAGATTTAGTGTTTCTGTTCTAATATTTAGATCTGTGATACATTTTGACTTGAGTTTGGTGCCTGGTAATACACTTGGGTCTAGTTTCAGTATTCAGCATGTGGTGAGCCAGTTCTTCCAGCACCATTTATTAAAGAGGCTGTCTTTCTTCCAGTGAACTTGCTTGGCCCATTTATCAAAGAAGACCTGGCTGAGTGTGTTTGTGGTTGTGGCTGCATTTCCAGTGTGTTCCACTGATCCTCAGGTCTGCTTTTTAGCCAGTACCATGCTGATTTATATCACAGTAGCTTTGTAGTATAATTTCAAGTCAGGGATTGTGATGCCACCTGACTTATCATCATTGCCCAGGGTTGCTTTTGCTATTCTGGGTCTCTTCTGGTTCCAGATTAATTTTAGGAATATTTTCTGTAGATCTGTGAGGTATGCTAAATGTACTTTAATTGGGATTGCATTGAATCTGTGCAACAATTTTGGGAGTATGGCTATTTTCACAATGTTGGTTCTTCCTATCCATGAACAAGGAATATCTTTCCATTTTTTGATATCCTCTTCAATCTCGTCTTTCACACTACTGTAGTTTTCACTGTATAGATCTTTCACTTCTTTTGTTAGATTGATTCCTAAGTATTTCAATTTTTGGATGCTATTATGAAATATATGGCTTCCTTAATTTCTCTCTGCATGTTTGTTGTTTGTGTATAGGAGTGCTATTGATCTTGAGTGTTGGCTTTGTATCCAACTGTGCTACTGAATTTGTTGATTAATTCTAGGAGTCTTCTAGTGGAATTTTTGGGGCCTTTCATGTAGAGTATCGTGTCACCTGCAAATAATGATAATTTTACTTCTTCCTTTCCTATTTTTATTCTTTTTATATCTCTCTCTTGTCTAAATGCTCTGGTTAATGTTTCCAGAACTATGTTGAATAGGAGTGGTGACAGTGAACATCCTTGTCTTGTTCCTGATTTTAAAGTGAAAGTTTTCAGTTTTTGTCCATTTAGTATGATGTTGACTGTTGGTTTGAAGTAAAGACCATCTACTCCTATTTTCTGTAGGGTTTTTCTCATGAATGAGCTTTGGATTTTTTTCAAAAGCTTTTTCTACATCTATTGAGATGACTGTGTTTTTTTTGTCTTTGGCTCTGTTGATATGATGTATTACATAACTGATTTGCGTATATTGAACCATCTCTGCATCCTGGGATAAATTCAAGCTTCTTGATGATTTGATGAATTCTGTTTGCTAGTATTTTATTGAGTATCTTTGTATCTATGTTCATTATGGAGATTGGCTTGTAGTTCTCTTTTTTGGTTGAGTCTTTCTCTGATTTTGGTATGAGTATAAAACTTGACTCCAGAAAAGAGTTAGGGAGAATTGCTTCCTTTTCAATTTCATTGAAGAGTTTGAGGAGTGTTGGCATTAAATCTTCTCTGAATGTTTTATAGAATTCAGCTGTGAATCCATCAGGACCTGAGCTGTTCTTTGTTGGTAGGTTTTTAATCATATTTTCAATTTCATTAATTGACATTGGGTTATTCAGGATTTTTATATCTTCTTGACTCAACTTTGGTAATTCATATGTATTTAGGAATCTATCCATTTCCTCTGTGTTTTCCATCCTATGGGAGTAAAGATTTTCAAAGTAGGTACTGATGATATTCTGAATTTCTATAGAATCTATAGTGATATCATCCCTTTCATTCCTTATTGCATGAATTTGAGTTTTTTCTTTCCTTTCTTGATAAGACTGGCTAGGGGTTTATCACTTTTATTTATGCTTTCAAAGAACAAACTCTTTGATTCATTAATTCTTTGTAGTGTTTTCTTCGTCTCAATTGTATTGATTTCTGCTCTGATCTTTATGATTTCTTCTTGTCTTTAGGCTTTGGGCTTGACT